GTAAAACGTCAATCATGTTCCAAATAGCCAAATGGTAATATCTATGTTGTCGATACTGTATGACACAGGTTTAATTGTAACAGAGAGTTTCAGTTCTTTCAAGGTGACAAATACGCATCTTTAATTTGGATTAGAATCTCAGAGTTTGTTGTGAGGCAGTAACTCACTGAAGACAATGGTGGACGGTCATGCACTATCGTGGATTGATTGAAGTTCGACATGAACACCGTTAAATTCCGACTCAATGGTCTAGAGATTAGGCTTTCGCATACGAGACTCAATGTTATGGGTTAGAGTCCTGTTTGCGGGATCGTGAGTGCACACTGCAAAGGGAGTCCTTCACTAAGACGAAACGACCGTCCAGTGTTTCTAGGTTTTCAGTGACGGTCATCCACTCATGATATCAATCTAAATTCCTTAATGGTTCGATAATCACTTATTAGCGTAGCAGAAACAAATGATCATTTATTTATTTATTTGAACACATACATATGGATACAAAGGGGCATTAAATACATATGCGCCACACAATGACAGTGAGACAAAGAATATAGGGTACGTATAAGAAAATGGGGAAACAAATCCACCATAGGCGAGCTGCTGTTTAAGCTGGAATATAAGGATACACAAAGTGAGAATAGGAGAGAGTAGTTAAGTGACGTAGTATAGTTAAAAAAGAAAAGTAAAAATGAATGTTATCACATGGATGTGAGTTGTCTGAATCTTATTTGGAGCGAGAACAGTATTTCTAATAATTATTGTCATTTCATTTTATTTATGTATGGGCTGTGATAGTGCCCGGCTGGCCAAACTGAAGTAAGTGGATTTCTCAGGCGGCTACAACTTGAGCCTTTAACCCAGAGGTCTAATTCACAAAGCAGTGGAATAACATTAGTAGATATAGTTCCATGGTATCCGATGACCAACAGTAGATTTGTACACCATTTGTTCCTCTAAGATACTGGAACCTATGTAAACCATTACATCATCAAATTAGGAGGAGATGGATTGAGTTATATGATTGTATAACTCAAATATAAGTATATTCAAATTAAACAGATAGATATTCAGTTAACTTTATAAGTCAGCAAATAAATCTCATTTCTAACTGACTTTTTTCATACATAATTACTTACGCTTGTTACTCCCAATGGAGCATAGACTGCCGATCAGTATTCTTCAACTTATTCTGTCCTGGGCTTTCCTTTCTAGTTCTATTCAATCACTGTTCATTCTTCTCATATGTGTCTCCATTTCTCGATGTAATGTGTTCTTTAATCTTCCTCTTCTCCTTTGCCTTGAGGATTCGAAGTGACGAAATTGATAGGACGAAAAGCGAATGTCTGGCAGAACCCTAAACCGGGTTAGTGCTCACGGAGGGTCCACCTAGAAGAGTTGAAATACCCTGATTCCAAACCAATGGTGCACATGGGATCCAGGATCCTGAAGGAACAAATGGTGTATGAACCAATTGTTGGTCACTGGCTACCATGTGACTGCATCTCCTGACCTTGCTTCATTGCAGCATCCAACCACCAACTGGACGGATAAATGGCTAAACCTTCTGAATACAACAAACTTATTGAACGTTGAAAACGTTGAGGTCAACTCACACTATTAAATAATATTCGATTTATCAAGAGATGAAAGTGTTGGAAAGCTACTTACTTATTTACACCTATTACTCCCATTGGAGTATAGGTCGCAGAACAGCATTCTCCAACTCACTCTGTCTTGAGCTTTCCTTTCTAGTACTATCCAATTGCTGTTCATTCTTATGTCTGTCATCATTTCTCGGCGTAATCTGTTCTTTGATCTTCCTCTCTTACTTCCGCCTTCAGGATTCCATGTGAGGGCTTGCCTTGTGATGCAGTTGTATGCTGTCCTCAATGTGTATCCTATCCCTTTTCAACGCTTCTTTTATCATAATTATTCACTAAAATGTATTAGTGCTTTTCATTTCAAATAAACAGATGTAAATAAATAAATATACAAATCAATGAATGGTAAACATTCAATAAAGAACTAGTCAGCAACTAATCACAGATGTTGTTACTATGGGAAAAAGATAATAATAATAGTAATAATACGATAAGGTATCAATAATGAACTGGATTCAAGAATTAGACATTTAATTATGTCCAGTATTTAGTAGACAGTTACTAGAAGAAATAAATAAAATCAATAAATGCATTCATGGTAGTCGTGTGTATATGGGACTGCCTGTCTATCTAACTACTGTTTGTCTGTCTATCTATCTTGTAGTGCACATTTTCGTGTGGATATATATATATCACATTACATTAATGCCAATAATTACCTCGAATAGACCGTGTAGATATTGATGCTTAATTAATTACTTATGCCTGTCACCTATCGTGTACAAGCATAGGCCACATACTATCATACTCCATCCAACTCTGACCTGGACAGACCTTTTCAGTTGGTATTCATCCTTTTTATGTCTGTTTCCAATTATGGACAAATTGTGTTCTTTGGTTTTTCTGTTTACCGTTTCCCTTCAAGATTCCAACGAGTGGCTTGCCTCGTGATGTAGTTGGGTGATTTCCGTAATGTATGTCCTATCCAGCTCGATCATCTTTTCTTGATTTGCTCTTCAGCTGATAGCTGGTTTGTTCTCTTCCACGGTAGGCTGTTGCTAATGGGATCCAATCAACAAACATTGAATATCTTACGTAAACAACTGTTTATTAATACTTTTTTGATATTATTTTTCATAATGATTGTGGTAGTCCTTGAAACTCCACTTGTAGCTTTTCTAAAGTTACTGCAAGTCCCAAGCTCGGGTAAAGGAATAGAGTCAACCACTATCAAAGTCAGAATCTTTAATATGAACGTCAAGGCAGTTCTACTGTATGGAACTGAAACTTAGTGAACTACTACAACCATCATCAAAAAGGTACAAGTATTTATAAATAGTTGTCTATGCAACATGCTCAACATCTATTGACCGGATACCATCACCAATAGCCTACTGTGAGAGAGAACAAACCAACAACCAGTTGAAAAGAAAATTAAGAAAAGATGATGGAAATGGATAAGACATACATTATGCAAATCATCAAACTGCATTACGAGGGAAGTGCTAATTTGGAATCGTGAAGGGAAGCGGAAAAGAGGAAAGCCGAAGAACATATTACATCTGGAAATAGAAGGAGAAATGAAGAAGATAAATAATGACTGGAAAGGTCTGGGAAAGATTGCCCAGGACATAGTTGAATGGAGTGTGCTTGTGAGCGGCCTATGCTCCTTCATGAAGAGTAACAGACGTCAGTAAGTAAGTAAGTCCTTGAAGTTTCAGCTTCATACAGTACAGTTAACTGTCTTTACATTCACACTTTGATATTGATGGACAGACTATTGTTTAATGTTCCATGTCTTCTTCAACTGTATGACTACTATCATTACTTTGTCCGACATTCATACTACAATACAAATGGTTTCATACAACTATTGTCTAAATCTAGACGATTCAAAAGAAAGAAAAAGCGAAACACAACAACAAGATAGTAATTTAATAGGAATAACAGATGATCTTCTTTCAGAAACATTCAATCCAAACTACATACATACACACACATAGCAACTAACCGATTGTTGGATTAGTTAAAGAAAGAAGAAAAAAAAGGAAGCTGAAAAATCAATCAATATCCAGTGATCGACAACCTGTCTGTCTGTATCCAACTGATGCACATACACATACATACACTTATACACGCAGACACATAAAGCACACACGCACACATACATACAACAGTTACATTTAAATATCGTAAGATAGACAGTTATGTTAGAAAGACAGACAGACAGTTTTATATGACACTATATATATATATATATGTGTCTAATTAATAAATGTCTGTCACATATTATGTTCACATTTGGAATGATGTACATTGACAGTACTGAAGTTATGTGTGATTTGAGTAATTCAATAATTTACAAATTTAGTAGTTGAATTCATGAGTCCATTGAAGGTAGACCACCATGGAAAACCTGGAAGTAATGGATGGCCATTTCGTCCTATTGTGAGACTCCTCAGCAATGGGTATCCATGATCCCACCACACGAGATTCGAACCCAGGGCCTATCAGTCTCGCGTGTGAGTGCTTAACCATTAGACTAAATTATACATTTTAGACATTTTCACTGGTAGGTAACAAGCAACACATGTGATTAACCTGTAGATCTAAGATCTTGGATTCAAGTCCTGCTTACGGATTCATGAATGGAGTCCTATACTAGGATGAAATGGTCATCCAGTGTTTCCAGATTTTCAATGGTGGTTTAGCTTCAATTGAATTCAAGTAATAAATTACAGATGTATTAAATCTATTGATTATTGAAACTTTGTATGACTTAGAAGCGCACGAGACCCAAGATCCTGGGTTCAAATTCCTTTAAGATTTACCTTTGTGAGTGTTTGACGTAACTGTTCAATCCACAATGAAATGGAACAGATCCAGAAAAAAAAACAATCCTATGACAGCTGACAACCTAAAATATGTTTGGATGCCACTTGTACTATTAGAATCCTGAAGTTCAGTGTCTGGTAACTCAGACATCCATTTTGCATTATTATTTTTATAGAAATAAGCCTTCAGTATAATAGTCATCAGTGAGCATTTGGCAAACTTGTTATGTCTCAAGGAGACAGCCGATTATATGACAGTGACTTATCGATCGGATCAAGGATTCAGAATCTCGATAGTGTATTCTACAGACAAACAGCAGATAACAAGTCAGGCAGGCAGATCCGATCAAGCATACAAATCAAGCGTATTTATACAAATATTTACAATCGATATTGTCATGGAAGATTTTTGAACATTAATCAACAATTGACTGCTATTTGAACATTTAATCGATAGTTCATCAATTGACCTATTTGTACATTTAATCGATAGTTCATCAATTGACCTATCTGCACATTTAATCGATAAGTAAATTACAAAATTTGAGTTTTGGGGATCTATCGTCCCCAACACTCCTCCCCTTTTTAGAAGATCCGGAGTTGATATCCGGATTTTAAGTTTTCCAGGTCCATCCTCCCCCACGAAACAGTGTTGGATCCTCATATGCCCACGTTATAATTAACTTGAATTTGTTTAAGACATATTTATCGCACTGAACAGAGAATTGACTGAAAGTGACTAAGTCTTGAGGCTGAACGACACTTGATATGAGGTGTTCGAAGTTTAATTCTTCTGAAATGTTGTGACCAAATTTATTTGGAATCTTATTTGTAGATAATGGATCATCAAGGTAATTAGCATCTATCAAAATTGTATTAAGTTTTTGATCATCATTTGATGCATCTGACATATTTTCTGGTAAAAGAGAATCTTGATAATAAGATTTGTCAAAAACATCTGTCGCAGACTGATGAGAACCATTTGAAGCAGTTGTATTCAGTGTACTGCTCGATTTGTTTTTTGTTTCATGGGTGGTTATTGCGACAATTCTATGAGCATTTACCAGGGAGTGTGTTTGTGAGCTGGATAAGTCACCGTCTGCACATGCTGTTTTGGGGATAATGGAGTTTGAGTCCATTACCGGGCATGTTTCTGGAATGGAGAGGACTGGACCACTGGGCGAATCTTGAGTGACTGTTGTACCGTTTGAAATACGGTTTATCGGGGGTTCATTGGGGCTGCAATCATTTTCCAGCTCTGTGTGCAGTTGAGAGATCAATCCATACACTTCCGTTGCATCTCCAAAGCATGAGTGATTTAACAGCTGCGTGCGTAATTTGACTAAAAACTCCAACTGTCTTTCAAATAGCAGCTGTACTCGATCGGAAGGGAGAGTCATTTTTTTTATCCAGCACCGGTAATGCAAATTACTGTTTGATTAATGACCAATGTTGCTGAAGGACACTGATGACAAATCTGGATGCTGAAGGCTGACTTTGGATTGTTCTTTTTTTTTACCCCGTCGCCAATTGTTATGTCTCAAGGAGACAGCCGATTATATGACAGTGACTTATCGATCGGATCAAGGATTCAGAATCTCAATAGCTATTCTGGTCCGTTGTCCCCAACTCTGCTAACTCGATCAAGAAGTCTGGGTAAGGTGTAGAAAGTGTATTCTACAGACAAACAGCAGATAACAAGTCAGGCAGGCAGATCAGATCAAGCATACAAATCAAGCGTATTTATACAAATATTTACAATCGATATTGTCATGGAAGATTTTTGAACATTAATCAACAATTGACTGCTATTTGAACATTTAATCGATAGTTCATCAATTGACCTATTTGTACATTTAATCGATAGTTCATCAATTGACCTATCTGCACATTTAATCGATAAGTAAATTACAAAATTTGAGTTTTGGGGATCTATCGTCCCCAACCAAACTAAACAACCAGCACATTTGAATGATACATGTTTAATTCAATGGTGGTCTAACATCGATCGATTCATGATCTCAATAAAAAAAATCAGTTCAAGGTCAAATTTAAAGTGCCATCAAATGCCCTGGTACGGCTGAAAGTGGGATGAGTTAACTGTCCCTCTATAAATGCTCTCAAATGGCCACGTGCATAAAATCAACGCTACGGAAGTCCAACTCACAGCATTCTCGCGGCATTACTGTTGTTTACGAAATTAAGAGGAAGAAAAGCGAATATCCGGTAGGAGCTTTACCCGGGATCGTGGATTCGGAAGATCCACCCTGATTACAAACCAATTGTTTACATGAGCTCCAGTATCCTGAAGGAACAAATGGCGTATTTATGAGCCTATTGTAGGTAACCGGCTACCATAGACTGCATCTCCTGACGTTGCTTCACTGCCTTGTGAGTCAGACGTTTAGATCAAAAGCTTCGAGTGTGGCCACTTAAGAAAACCACCTGCTTCGGTTTGGGCACCCGGACAGTATCTCAGCCATCACATAAATCAAGTTACTTGTGTGGCGCATATGTATTTGGTGCCTCCTTGTACCAATATCTATGTGTTTAAATAAATAAAGTTTAACGTAACTTTCTCAGAAGACATGCATTCTATTGGTTAAAACGTGATTTAATCTTCTGAGGGACACATATCTATATAACTGAATAAGTTCGTGACTACATTATGATTTAATTAGCTAATACATGCTCCCTACCCACCATTAGTTTCCACTCAGTAAACTAGGCTATATAGGAGACAAAATTGGAGTATCTGGTTCCGTTTATGTGAAGTGGCAAAATTTATGACAACAATGAATGAGTCAAATGTAAGCTTTGAATTCCTATACACAATAATAAGAAATATGAATGTTGATGCTTAGCACCGGAAGTAATTAACATAAATAATTGTTCATTTTGATTGATTGTCTAATTGTAACATTATTCTATTCAAAGGTTAACATATAAGGTTCTCAGTGAGGTCTAAAGGTTATAAGTTCGGTAAGATGAACTACATTGTTTAAATACATTAATATTGAGTTTCATATTAGGATGAAACAATTGTCTAATACTTTCTAGTTCACATTGATGATGACAATGGTGAAAGGGGTCACACTTTCGTGGATTAGATGAAATTAGATACTAACATAGTTGAATGCCGGCCACCTCACTTAAGCGACTGAAGGTGTTGTGTTCGAATCGTATGTTCAGGAATGTGGAAGCGCACTACTGAGGATTCCTATAATAGGACAAAACAGCTATCCAATGCTTCTAGGTTTTCCTTAATGGTCTAGCTTCAATTGACTCATAAACTCAACTATAAAATCACACTGGTTATATTTAAATCAAGTTGAATTCATAATGAAAACTATTTACAGAATTGAACACAATAATAATATTTGATCTATCTATCTATCTATCTATATATTTGCTGGGTAAACAAATGATTCACCGATTGTTTGTTTTCGATACGCTATTCATATTGTATATGATTTTGTAGTAAACCGGATTATGAGAAATGTTTCAGTACAGATTAATTGATGGGTGTTTTGTTTTGTTTTGTTTATGTAAATAGATAGATTAATTAACATGTGCTCACTAGTGACTAGCTTCGTGAGGGAATTCTCGGAGTTGTACTGAGAAGCCGTGACCAGTGGAACTAATCCTTGTCGGGTAGAGACAGGTATCTACCTCAGTACAATGGAAGTTGGTCGCGCAATTTCGTGGATTGGTTGATGTTAGAAACTATCACCATTGGATGCCGGCTCAGTGGTCCAGTTGGTTAAGCGTTCGCGAGCAAGACCGAAGGCCCTGGGTTCGGATCCCGCTCACGGGATCGTGGATGCGCACTGCTGAGGAGTCTCACAATAGGACGAAACGGCCGTCCAGTGCTTCCAGGTTTTCAATTGTGATGGTCTAACATCAATCGGTTCATGATCTCAATCAAAAACTTAATAATCTCCACAACCCCTATACTAGTAGATAGATAATAAGTAGTATGAAATGTTTTGAATATCATATTGGAACATCAATTGAATCACATATGGAAGAGGTGAAGTCTTTCATGTACCTGGAAACGATCATCAATGAACAAGGATGATCGGATACAGATGTAACGGTGAGAATTGGTAAAGCAAGGATAACATTCCTACAATTGAATAATATATAGAACTCAAAACAAATATCTGTAATTGGACGAAATTCAGTGTAATTATTTCGAGCAATTATCGACGACCAAATATAATAATTGACGACGGGGTTAAAAAAAATACAATCCAAAGTCAACCTTCAGCATCCAGATTTGTCATCAGTGTGCTTCAACCACATTGTTCATTATTCATACAGTAATTTTCATTACTGGTGCTGATTAAAAAAAAGACTCTTCCTTCCGATCGATTACAGCATCTATTTGAGCGACAGTTGAAGTTCTTAGTCAATTTACGCACGCAGCTGTTAAATCACTCATGCTTTGGAGATGTGACGGAGGTGGATGGATTGATTTCTCAATTGCACACTGTGGTGGAAAATGATTGCAGCCTCCATGAATCCTCGATAAACCGTACTTCAAACGAAATAGCAGTCATTCATGATGCACCCAGTGATCCAGAAATGTCCATTTCAGAGACATGCCCTGTCGTGGTTTCAATTCCCATTGTCCCCCAAAACACTATGTACAAACACTGGATTGTCCAGCTCACAGAAAGACGATGTCTTATTAAACGCTCATGAAATTATTGCAGCACCCACCCGAAAAGAAACAAAAAATGAATCAAACATCATAATGAAGACAGTCGCACTAAATGGAGCTCATCATTCTACGACAACAGTTTCTGATGAATGTAATTATTGGGGTTCTCTAGTTATTTTACCAGATATGAGTTGTTTTAATGACTCACATGCTTTTGATCAAATTTCTTACAAAAATGAGAAAAATTTGTCGGATGCATCAAACGATGATCAAGAACTTAATAAAATTTTGATAGATGTGGATTATCCTAGTGATCGACTATCTACAAATGAGATTTTCAAGAGATCTGATGAAAATGTTTTACAAGAATCAAATCTTAATGACCTCATATCTAAGGTCGCTGATCCTCACCATCTAGTCTGTTCTAGTGGACTTCCTACTCAATACGGGAAATATGCTTTAAATAGAGTCAAACTAAGTGTACCTTAGGCATATGAGGACCCAACGTTAATTCGTGGGGGAGGATGAATTCATAAAATTTAAAGATGGATCTCAACATAGAGTCTTCAAAAAAAAAGAAGGCGAGGGTGATATGATGGAAGGAAAAGTCCAAATTCGATTGATTTATCGATTATGAGTTTTATTCAACATGAATTCCATTTTGATTCAATCTCATGATTACTCAATGGAGTATTTGTTACTGTTATCTCAGTATTATTAATCAAAGCGTGTGTACAATCAATATATAAATGAGTGTATTATTGACTAGAGTTGTCGTCGTCGTTGTTGTGTTTTAGGGTTGATGAATCATTACTTATATCAGTCTTTTTGTTCTTACTTTCACGTCGTGGGAATTGCCGAGGTCCCTCGTTCCGAGTATAAGTGATGAGCGTTTTTTTCCGACACAACAATTGCGACGATCGAATATAAAACAAACAATATCAAAGTCACAATCTTCAATATAAACGTCAAGAGAGTTCTACTGTATGGAGCTGAAACTTGAAGAACTATTACAACTATCATTAAAATACAACAAGTATTTACAAACAGTTGTCTACAAAAGATATTGAATGTCCGTTGATCGGATATCATCAGGAATAATCTACTGTGGGAGAAGATAAATCAGCTTCCAGTTGAAGAGGAAATTAAGAAAAGACCCTGGAAGTGGATACGACATACATTATGGAAATGATCAAACTACATTCACTCTTAAGATCTAATTATTCTTATATTATTGATCAACATTCTTCGGATAATTCCATCCATCATCCTGTGGCTTAATTATAATCTGTTCACACAAAAAAACAACCATGAAAGTATATCTTCATCAACACTCGGAGACTTTTTATTGTTACTGAGAATATTTAAATTGAGCTGAATGGTTTTTTTTTAATTGTAAAGTTCTTATTGTCTTTTTAGATGAGAACATCAGTATACCCTTGCACAGTTGTGTGTGCTACTAATGTCGACAGATATAAGTAGTATATATCATCAAAGTATGGTTCCCAGATTTTACTAAGAGATTCTGTAATAATGTATTCAAATATATTTCGTTGTTCTCATTTATGTACTAACCGTAATGACCGGAGAGCAGTTGTATAACCTCTCTCTCTCGCGCGCGCGCTCTCTACTCTGATTATCGATTAGCTCATTTATATTGTCAATTGGGTCGTTGATCTTCTAGGCATCAATTGACACACTGACCAATCAACAACAACAACAACAATTAAGACTTTTATGCTCATTGGTCCTGAAGCTCCTACTAACCTAGCGGCCAATCAAAGCACGATTAAGAATCCTCGTTTTAACAACTACACAGATCACGGATTTCTCAATGAATGTTTACATCGTTATGTCACACGTTATTCAGTCTTTTGACATGTATTCAATTAGGATTTGAACAGATCTACTATTACAATGAACGAGAATACAAGTGAGGACAACCAAATGTATTTCGTCACCAAATTATAGAATATCATAGTAAAATCTGACACTCAGTAACTAAGTGGATAAGGCGGTGACGTTAGTTGAAATGAACGATACTGGTTTCGAGTTCAGAAGTGAACACTAACTCTCGAAAGCAGGCACATCCAGATAACAAGTACCAAATAGGACGAAGTGACTCTTGCCCTTTACATTATTTTCTAATCCAAAAATGCATTTTCTATTATAGCAACTCACATGCAAGTGAGTTTGTTCTCATTTAACTCAGTTAAGCCCTTTAGTTAACTTATTTAGCGGACAAAGTCATCCGTACTATAACAACTTATTGTACCTTTATTATTGTTGTGCTTGTATGAAATATGTAGGCTTGAACATTGCTTACCGCCTAAGCATAAATTCATTCTGCTAGCTTTATTATTAGCTGCTTAATTGATTCGATGATCCATTCATTTCCCTATATATACATACATGTACATTTACACTCGACACACTCTACACTCTCGGTTCGTTGACTCATTCATTTGCCTCACTGCTTTGTGGTCTGAGTTATCTGCTTATAAAACTGTAGTCGCTGCTTCTCTTTACCTTCTGATTTCAAACACCGTTGAGGATTGTATGGTAACGGTTACGAGGGTGATTGGTTAACGAAGCACAGCCATTACACTATACCTATTCTCTTGTGTTATTGTAGTGAAGGAGAACACATTGCGGAAAATCGACTATATTTGAATACAACATTACAGATTATCTCGGTAAAATCTGTAAACAATACAGTAAATACTTCACTTATAAAATATCCGCCAATTATCTTAGACTTCATTGTTCCTTTATCTCCACATCAATCATTCTTTGTTCTCGTTCTCTTCTCTTCAATCTTCTTAATCTTCTGTCTTCAAGCATTCGACTTTCAAATGATGATCTGTACTACTTATATCTATCGATGTCAGTAGCACACAACACATTAGTATCAACAATATAACTGACAATATTCATCTCCTAATCAAATAGGTGCTGTTGTATTGAAGGTAAACAGAAGTGTGGACAGTCAAACATATGTGAATACAAATTGATAGAATCGCTTGGTGAAATCTGAGAACCATACAGTAAATAATTCATTAATCGTCTCAGACTTGATTGTTCCTTCATTTCCACACTAATCATTCTTTGTTCTCGTTCTGTTTTCTTTGATCTTCTTAACCTTCTACCGCCAGGTATTTCACTTTCAAATCATGATACATACTACTTATATCTATCGACATTAGTAGTATACACCATATCATTATCGTCATCTAAAATAAGGCCTTAATAAATATTTAGTAAAAATTAATGTGAATTAAAATTTGCATATTTTACCTGTGGGGGTAGGGATGGAAGGTTTTTTCCTGCTTATCAAAAACAAAAAAAAGAATATTGTCACCGATTCTGTATGATTATCGATTTCCGGTGGGAAAACAAAAAAGAAAAACGAAAAGAATTCAGTATCATCAATAATTTGTGTTGATGTATGTGTGTGTTTGTGCGTGTGCGTGTGCGTATGTGTGTTTGTTAGTGTGTGTGTCCGAAAGTTTAATTTATGAAATTTCAATTTTATTATTTTTTACAAAAAAATTTTTTTTTTGTTTTTTTTTTTAAATTTCCCGTTAACATAAAACGGAATAAATTCACTTGGTATGGTTGTTTTACTTGTATCTTCCGATTGTTGTTAAGCTTGGAAGTCTCATCAGCCCTTGTGGTCTTGTGTGTGACAAAATCTCAGCATGGATACAGAAGGCTCGACTAGCTTTTGCCAACTTGTGTCATTTATGGCGTAGGCGAGATATCCGTCTACCAACCAAAGGACGTGTTTACTGCGCAGCAGTTCGTCCCGTCCTACTTTATGGCAGTGAAATATGGCCGGTAAGAGTAGAGGATATTCGTAGGTTACTAGTATTTGATCATAAGTGTCTTCGAAACATTGCTCGTATATCATGGGACCATCGAGTAAGTAACACAGTTGTTAGGAGACGGGTACTAGGTAAGGATGGCAAATCAATCGATGAAGTAGTGAAACTTCATCAGTTGAGATGGCTGGGACACGTGTTACGTATGCCCCGACGTGCTATGTTCAGTGGTATAGGAGTAGGTTGGAAGAAAGCTAGAGGCGGCCAGACCAGAATATGGCACAAATCTATGAAGTCACTGACAAGTGGACTGAGTCATGTTGGTAGGTGTAGACAACCTGGTTGGGGACCGCGAGATGATAGCAACCGATGGTTAGAGAACTTGAATGACATGGCTCAACA